CATGTTGAACTATTAAGGGACGCCACGCGGGAATTAGTTGTCTCCGTCTTACAAACGAAAAACATAGCGTTAACAATTATACGTTTATACTGTAATTTCTAAAATTAGAGTGAATTTACATCTTATACAATATTTAAAGACAAGGATATTATGTAGGGCGTTTAGATGGATTTTATTGATATTAATGATATTATTATTTTTAAGCACGAGTATAAGTTATGAGTGTTATGACCATTTTTAAACTTTTTTTTGTGCATTTTAAAAGATTATTAATACCTAGCTTAAAAACAATAATATCAATAAAATCTTCCGAGAAGCCCTAGATAATATTGGATTAATGGATTAAATATATTATAAATCAGTAATCAAGCCAGTCGCATACCTATCTAATAAATAAATATGCTTACCGGCTTTCTCACAACCGGGAGTGTAGCAAATTATGTTCTTATTTTCATATTTTCTATTCTTGTTCAGTTTTCTACTTAATGATTTCCCAATGAAACCATTATTTCCCGGGGATAAAGATGAAATGCTCGCTGTGGATATACGTAATCGATTAAAAAATTATAATTTGTCTAATTGAATTAAATTAACATTTTATCAATCATCATTAGATGATTAATGAATAATATGCAATATAGCATTTATAAACACTTTTACAACAAAGGCACGATTTTGGTCAAAAAACGAATTTATTTTTTTTTTAATTTRACCAAAAGGTAAACCGGCCGAAAAGGAAAGGGTCAGTTTTAATCAAAGTGAAGGTTGTTAACTTTTCGATTAAATGATTGACTCTCTCGATGATTAACTCGTCYAGGTAAATATTATGTTTACCTGTATGAAGTATGCTGTAAACTCTTTAAAAAAAACATTTCTCTAGTACTCATTCATCTCAATCAGTTATATYTTTAGCTTGTTATATTATGAAATTGTAGGTATTAATTAAACGTTTTTACCTTACCCGTATTGCATCTATGGCTGTAGTACACTGTGGTCAGAGCTAAGACCAGAAACAATGGCTCCAATAGCATTCCGTCAGCGACCACGACCAAATTCCGTACCAAGTTTGTCCTCCTCTTTCACCTGGTTGGTATTCTGAAACGGAGGAAAAACTTAATATTATTCGGCAGTAAAATTAATTATGAAAATGCATGTGTATTTGATGTGTATATATGTATACATATAATGTGTGTGTATGTGTGTTTTTGGTGGGAARTTAAAGCTGATAAATAAAGGTTGGATTAATCGTAAGCGTTTTAACAGTAAACAAAAATATGTCCTTTGTTATTCTAATACCACGCACAACCGTTCTCTGTTGACCGGCAGAGGCATAAAGGTGAAAATCGATAAAAATGTTTTTTAATAAATAAACGAATTTGGTTTACGTACATGATTGCCGAACGATTTTGTCCAATCATAATTATCTTTATAGTTCTTTTAGTTTTGTAAATATTTTTAAAATCAAATTTTTAACTCAAAAAGTAATGTAAATTCGTCGTCAATAGTTAATTTAAATTTAAAAAAAAAAATAATAATATTATTCAAATAAATTATTGTAACTAAGAAAAACGTTTRTTTATAGCTGTCGTTAATCTATAATRATCTATTTGTAGGAAATAATATAAGCCACCAATATTAGATCCAGAATATTTGGTTTATAGAATATTTATCTGTACTAAATGATAATAAATTAGTTATTTTTTTTTT